CGAAAATAAAGGGAAGACAGACAACAAATTCAAATAATAACTAAAAGTCTAAAAGAATTAGCACAAACATTTTGTAATGAAAAATCACAACTAAATCACAAACAGTGCTGAGAAAAGAATGAGCTTTTATTAATAAATGAGGTGCTTGTGAGGTCTACTATGCATAAAGAATGTGCCATTCTCCTATTGGTGGAAGGATATAGTCTAATGCAGATTGCATCATAGATTAGCTCAGTAAACATAAACACATGTAAGGGTGGGAGTTTTCCATCTATTTCATATCTCAAGTTTACAAAAAGAGCAGTTATATTACTTTACTTTTTTGTGTTTTTATTAACAAATGTAACACTAGTGCTCATACTTAACATTTCTTTGCTGTATATTTACTTTTTTCTGGTATAAAATAACTTCACATATTTCAACTGACTTTTCTCTCTCTTTGCAGTCTAAGATTTACGATTAAGGCTCTTAGAGTATTTACTTTACTTTATCTATCTGTTTACTATCTCATGTTTATGAAAACAATAGTTATTTAACTTTCCTTATTTGTATCTTTATTAACTCAAGTTTAACCCTTGTGCATGCATTTCACATTTATTTGCTGTCTATATATTTTTTCTAGTATAAAACAGCTTTAAGGTATTTCAATTAACTTTTCTCTCTTTCTACAGTCTTAGTTTTAAGATTTAATTAAGAGTCTTGAAGGTATTTTCTTTACCTTCTCCCTCTGTTTACTATCTGAAGTTTAAAAAAAAAAAACAGTTACTATGCTTTTCTTCTGCGTCTTTATTAACTCAAGTACAACACTACTATACTTATCTTATGTTTTTTCTGTCTCTTTACTGTTTCTAGTGTTAAAAACTTATTTACTCTATATAATCTCAATTTTAAACTTTAAGACTCCACTGCCTTCTTGGTAGTGGCATAAGGTAATAGCTTTCAATTCTGTGTAAGGGTGAGTTGCATTTCTGAATAATAAAGTTTAAAAGAGAATTATTTACCAGATTTCCAACTTTAAAAAACAAATATACCGGCATCAAACAATCCAAGCCCTAATTGTGTTCTTAGAAAAATAATTTTCAAAGGATAACAATTTAGCCTATTTCAACAATCACATTTTTATCACCACTCTACTCCAAACTACATAAAAGAAGTCTAAGTCTCCTTCTCTTATACCCAATCTTGATATGTAAAATACTCATCCAATCTCCCTTTTAATTCCTTCTGTGTTGAAGCTTCTAGCATAACCAAAGGGAAACTATTCCTCAGACCAACTACAACTACTCTTGTAGAAAAGTAATACTGCTTTAAATGAAGTCATGTCCAAGTCTTCTATATCTTAAGCTTGTGTTCTCTAATCTTAATGCATACAGTTCTTTATAAATGTAATCTGAAGTTATGGATTCCAAACCTTTAACAAACTTAAAAACCTAAATCATGTCCCACTGAGCCCATCTCTCCTTCAAAAATATGTCCAAAGATTTCAGCCTATCTCTGTAATCCCTCCAAACCTGGAGTCATTCTGGTAGTCCTTCTCTGAACCCTCTTCTATAACTCAACATCCTTTCTCATATTATATGACAAAAATTGAGCACAATATTCCAAACGAGGTCTACAAACATCCAGAGGTCAACTGATGGCATTCTTCAACTTGTCTCAATATTTCTATGTACACAATGTAAATTCTTGTTTGCCTTATTAGATGCTAAAAATACATTGTCTAGAAGGCTTAGAGACTTTGCAATGCCATGCCCAGATCTTTTTACCTCACAAACTTCATCTAAAGCTTGCCTTGCAAGGCTATAATAATATTTATGTTGTGATAAGTACTATGCATAACCTTACTTTTATCAAGAGTAAAAACATGCACTGAATCTATCTCTGGTTTATTTTTACATCAGATTAAAAGTTGTTTAAAAACATTAAAAGACCTTCTTATCTTGGAATTCAGTGTTTGCTCGATTAAAAAATATATTGACATGGATGAAATTTACACCCATATCATGCTTTTCGTTTATTAAAAAGTAGCTCAAAATGCTAACTGAACTCACCTCAGGACTGGTTGGGTACTTTTTCTTAGCTACTCTCTCCAGACTTTTGTGGATATTATTTTGGGATTTATTTAACAAGTCCTCAGATATGTCAACTAACACAACATTATGTCCTGTCTGTGCTGCCACCTGTAAAGTCAAAACATGCAGTATATAAGTTCAGTACAAAGAACAAAGACAGCGTCACATTAAAAGGCTGCAATACAGCAAGGAAATACATATAACCAAACTTGTATCTGATAATTGGAATAAAATACATATATCTGTATGCTTCCAAAGGCTTCTTTTGTGACTTTTATGTAACAGTTAGTTTGGACTAATAGAGTAAGAAAAGCTCCTTACTTTTAATCTGACCAACAGGATGAATTTCCTGTGAATTATCTTTGTGTAAAATTACGCTATTCTGTACTCATTTAAAGTAAATATACACATTGGACCCTGTGTTGTTTTAAAATCAATATTTTTATGAATGATAGTCATGCATTCTTTGTGGATTCAATTTTCTTAGTTATTTCAAGTTCCTTTTTTTTCATCACCAAATCAGTGAAATCTGAATATGGAACTCTTTCCAATATATATCAAATAATATAAGAAAGTTGGAGCAAAGCAAATAAAAATTTAGTTATAAAAATCATGAGGGTGTCTTATGCCATGCAAATTATAATATAATCATTAAATAATACTAAATTTGGGCTTCAAACCCAAGACTGTGAAGTAAAAGCTATAACAGTGCTGTGCTTTCAAAGGTTAACAAATCACAAAATATTTTATACTGCTTCTATTTGGGATTTTCCCTAAAATTGTGAAAAAAATGTAGCTTCAATACATTCAAAAGTTCCTGAATGCCCAATGTTAAACTTAAATGCATAAAACAGTAAACTATCAACACATTATGAATGATAAAAACTTTTATAGTAAAATAACATAAGGTTAGCACCTATATACCAATTGAATTTCTGGAGGCATTATTATCTATGAACCAGAATCCAGTAAAGAGGTTAAAGAAAGCCTTGAGGATAGTAATATTAATGTGAAAGTAACCTAAGGATATTTCATGTCTAGTATTACAAAAATTCTCAAGTGTAAAAACATAAATGATGTGTAAAAAATAAATATATAAATATAATAACTGTAGATTCTGTTAGAAGCTCCTCACAAAATAAATAAGTATATTTATCATTGGCTACATCATAAAATATACTAATATTACTAGTCTGACTTACTGTTCTAATTGAAGGGAACTGAGGTTAAGCATACTCGGGTTAATCATAAAACAAAAACGTTTGTTCTATTGAATTCTGCTATAATTTACGATAAGCTAAAACTAAGAAAAAAAATTCCCATGTACATCAGTTGCCTACCTTATTCTATTATTATTACTATTAGTATTAGATGAGGTCAGGCCCTTCCCATTCCAATGGCCATTTGAGGCTGACACTGATGCACATAATTAGCAAATTCCTTTAAGTTAATCATTTAACTTTAAGCTAGATGTGTTAATTTTTCATCGATTTAAGAATAAAACAATTATAAAGACATAATTGCAACATTCAAATTAGACTTCAGCTTTTAACTTAAGCTACAGGATCCCTTCTAAAACAACAGGGAAACGTTTAGTTTAGCATTAACGTTAATATGGTAAAAGGTTTATTTATTACAGAGTAAATATTTATGATAATTAAACTAACATATGTAAATTTTAATAGAGCTTAGAAACACTGACAGTTACTGAGTTACCCAAATTCACTGAAAGTGAAAACGTTTTGTTGAAGATTAAAAGCTTTCAACAAATCTTTCTTCTCATTTTAAACTTTATTCGCAATTTTCTATTTTTTATTTTACCTCAATATACATAAGAATCATGAAAAGTACAACATACAAGTGATCATATTAATAATTCATTTTATTTTATATGGCGTTTATACTTTCGAACGAAAAACCAGTCTCGCGGCATACAGCATTACATAGAAGTCCTTGTTCTAAACTTTCAACTTCAGGAGTTATCTCTCTGTGCTTTCTTCTTCCACCGTTCCTTTAACTTTAAGTCATGACCTCGAGTTATGAATATCAACATGCAATGCCAATAGTATTTTCTATCTCACCTGAGCAATGCCTGACCCCATGAGACCACCACCAATGACCGTGATATTTTTCATAGCAACGCTCATCGTTGAAGTGGAAGTTACAAATTTTCGGATGGTGGTATGTAAACCCAACATGGTGAATTTTCGTACACAATCAACACCTTCTCGTATCATATATTCGCAGAGTTCGAAACTTTACAATTTCCACTAGGGCAGCTTAATAATAAATAAGAAAAAATAAATAAAATTATAACGGAAGTAGGGATCGTGGGTTATTCGTAGAATTGCTATAAGAAATATCCAAAGCAAATTAAATGCTCCAATAAAAAATACACAAACAAGTAAAGTGATACTAGTTGGATAGATTTTAAAACGATTTCCAAATTAAAAATCTATCCAACTGGTATCACTTTACATGTTTATGAACTTTTTATTGTATCATTTATTTTGTTTTGGATACTTCCTTTAGCAATTCTACGAATACGGCCCGGCATGGCCAGGTGGTTAAGGCACTCGACTCGCAATCTGAGGGTCGCGGGTTCGAATCCCTGTCACACCAAACATGCTCGCCCTTTCAGCCGTGGGGGCGTTATAATGTGACGGTCAATCACTATAAAAGAGTAGCCCAAGAGTTGGCGGTGGGTGGTGATAATTAGCTGCCTTCCCTCTAGTCTTACAATGCTAAATTAAGGACGGCTAGCGCAGATAGCCCTCGTGTAGCTTTGCGCGAAATTCAAAACAAACAATTCTACGAATACCCAATGATCCCTACTTTCGTTAAAATTGTAATTTTTCCCCTATTTATTTGTTCAGTATTATATGTCTATGGAATGGACATGCCATCTATGAACTATCAGTATAGCTATATCCCTCATAACGAGATTAAGTTAACACACACAGGATCACCTACAAAAGTTTTAATAATTTCAAAATGAGACCCAAAACTCGAGCGCTTTCGAATAGTTGACTATTCTTCCTCAGGATAATAAACTTTTGCAAGAATTAAAACCACAATCACAAATTTATAAAATGTGATTTTTACTTTGGCCTACGGATAAGTGTATAAAGCTGCCAAAGTAGGGATTAAATTTTATAAATTTGTGATTGTGGTTTTAATTCTTGTTTCATTACTTTTTTGTAGCAGGATCCCTACTTCATTTTGAAATTCATAGTTTTTAATACTCTTGTTTGTTTACTTTTTATTTTATTTTATACCTGTAAAAAGTATTAATATTGTTGCGTATCTACTCGTTTGTTAATTTCCGGTATAAATTATTTCCGAGGAACTTCAGCGATACAAATTCTTTCTTAATTAAAACTAGTTTATTC